ATGAAATATATAGTATAATTACGAGTATTTCTTGTTCTTTAAAAAATGTATTAAAGGTAATATGTTCAGGAGCCATAGGTTATCATGGGTCTAATAACCCTTGTGTATAACCATAGGGTCATTTTGGGGTTAAGTCCCCAATTCTTACCGTACATTCTTCTACATCTGCCTTAGTAGTAGTAGACTTAGTAGCTTTCTGTGTGGTTTTCAGAATTTGAGTATTCTATGTAAGCCTATGATCAAAATACACCTCAAGGTATTTTGTTTCTTTGGCAAATGAAATTTCTGGTTTTAGGTCTTGTACACCAATCAACTATATTTAGGGCTGTTTGCATTCTCTCAGACACCACCTGAGCAAATATGTCCCTGGCAACGATTGCTATATCAGAATATCCTAGACAATAAAAACCTTCTGTGGACAGATTTCTGAGATCATCTACTAAGGTTACCCAAAGTAAAGGGGACAGAATTCCTCGTGGACAGCCTCCATCTACTTTTGCTTTCATGGTTGGTTTACCCAGAATCGACATCACTGTCCTATTCTACAGGGATGCCCTTATCCATCTGCATATTACCGCAGGTGCGCCTCGTCTACTCATAGCTCCTATCAAAGAGCTGGTAGTAACATTATTAAATGCCCTTCTATATCTAAAAAAGCGGCCAATGCTATCTCTTTGTCTTCCATTGATTTGAGATAAGCCTATTTAGATCATCCAATGCAGAGTTGGATTTTACCTTTAAGGATCAGTTGTAGTATTCTGTATCGATCCCTTCATCATATGTTGCAGATAAGACATTTTCTGATGTTTAACAGTTTTTAGCAATTCTCTATCTTTTTTTGATCCCCTCATGAACAAAGGAAGAATAATTATAGAAAGAATCGAATAAATTCAAGTATAGAGGAATTTATCGAAAAATTCTTTGCGGATGACAAACCTAAATTGCAACAAACATCGACGTGGAAAATGGACGGATCCTCAATCATAGGCATGCCATACAATGTGCAAAGAATTGGAAAGCTTATGGATCATACGAAATATAAATAGATGTAATAAAACTAATAAATGATAACAACATAAAACCACTAACACACACATCTTTTTAACAACATATATGAATTACATAACAAGTGACATAATACCAACGGAATAGCTTAACTCAGAATTCATAGCAAGAAATCTAGTTTCCGCAAATGCGACGAATTTAGGGTCTAGCTTAATGAGTCACTACTAAAAGTATTCTTAAAGATTTTTTTTTAACCTATTCTCTATCCTTCCATTGTTGGATATAGGTCTCCCCCAGTTCTCTCCATCTTTCCCTATCTTGAGCTGTTCTCTGCCATGTGGGACCTCCTTGTTTCCTGATGTCATCTTTCCAGCTCATCTGTGGTCTGCCTCTTGATCTCTTTGCACTGTATGGACGCCACTTTCCGATGGCATTGTTCCATCGTCCGTCTTGGAGACGTTATTTGTGTCCAGCCCATTTTATTTCAGTTTTGCTGCTTGTTCTATCGCGTCTACTGTCTTTATTCTGGTTCTGATCCACTGGTTACGTTTTCTATCTCTAAGTGATACACCCAACATTTGTCTCTCCATCGCTCTTTGTGCCTTCCTGATCCTATCCAAATTGGCCTGTGTAAATGTCCATGTCTGTGCTCCGTAGGTGAGCACCGGTATTATGCAGGAGATATATACCTTGCTTCGTTCTGTATAATCTTAAAGATAATCTGTATAATCTTAAAGATTATACAGAATCAAATTTATAAAAAAAAATTAAATAGACATGAGTTCGGATTTAGAAAAGCCTTGAGAGAGGCGCTGTTTGCGATTCAATAACCAGAAAAAAGTATATCTCTTTTTCATCGACTACCAGAAGGCTTTCTGTTTGCGATTCAATAACCAGAAAAAAGTATATCTCTGTTTCATCGACTACCAGAAGGCTTTTGAAAGAGTCCAACATGAAAAATTGTAGTACGAACTACAGAAAATGAAGCTAGGAAAAGATCTCCGCATAATTCAAATCCTGTATTGGAACCAAGAAGTAACCTGTGTCCGTCAAGGCTGTGCCATGTCTCCAATGCTCTTTAACTTGTACTCTGAATGCATATTCAAACAAACACTAGACGGCGCCGAAATTGGTATAAAAATAAACTGTAAATATATCAACAATATCAGGTATGAACACGATACCGTTCTGATAGCACAAAAAATGGAAGACTTACAAATTATACTAGACAGAGTTAATAATGCATTTGAAGCAATGGTATTGACAATAAATTTTCAAAAAAATAAAGTAATGCTGATTACCAAAACCGATGAAAATTGTCGCATGGACCAATTAGAACAAGTTTACAAATTCAGATACTTAGGAGTAGTATTATCTATATTAGTCTAATTAGTCTAAATCTAAATTATCTATAACCAATAACTAACCTCAGATATCCGAATTAGAGTGAATAAAGGCTATGTTTGGTCAGTCCTTCTGTATGGAGTTATACACCATACCTAAACCATTTATAAATACCTAAGAATAATAATTAAAGTGAAGATAAAGGGCCGAAGAGAAGTAGGCAGAAGAGCCATGTTATGGCTTCGCAATATCAGAGCTTGCACGGGCATGAACGTTCAGCTATTACTAAAAGTGGCGCAGAATAGAGGACATTTTCATATAGTAATCGCAAACCTCCAGTAATGGAGCGTATCAGAAGAAGAATACGAAGAACAATTGTTCTTCGTATCCACCTATCTCAGCATTCGCTAGACTCCAGAGGCTTTAATATGCTGGTCAGATAGTGATGATGGATGATGACAGACTGCCGAGCAGGTATAATGCAGGGCAGAATATCAAAAGAAAGGCCACGTGGAAGATGGGAGAGTGAAATGGCAACGGATGCTTACAATTTACTGAACTTGAAGATGATCGGAACAATATCGCGTATATTGGAGGTACAAATAAAAGGAGGTCAAGTCTCAATTTGTGCCCTGTAGTGTTGCCCAAAATCGGTCTTGGTCTTGTTCTTGCGTTTTCGCGAGACCAAGACCGCCTAATTTTAGCAAGACCAAGACTGACCGTGCAAGATTTACGCAAGAACAAGACTAAGCCTGCGAGACTCTTGCGTCTTGCAGTTAGGACTGAGTGGCGTTTTAGTGAGTATAGTAGTTTGGGTATATGCTTAAAGACTCTATGAGATGCAAAAAAATATGTAATAAAAATTTCAAAAACTGGACCTATGCGCATTATACAATAGCATAAACATACATACCGAATCAAAATATTCATTAAAAGAACACATTTGACACGTGCTCAGAGGTCATAATTACAATGTAAAAATAAAATATTTTGTACATTCTTTTCCAGCATACGACTTGTTCGTTCTAATTAATTGTCCAGATTTTGAGAATAGCCGCCCTCTAATCATAAAATAATCTTGCATTGCGGCGCCGGCAGTACTATCGTATCGAAATTTTTTAAAAATATATCACCTTAGCTAATAAAAAATATAACACTTATTGTTATGGACATCTACTTATAATTCAATTTTTTTCCCATTATAATTTAGTTAGGAGGAATCTAAATAAACAAATCTTATCGGCCTAAGACTAAACATTGTTTCTGCTGGGTGTGCATTGAGATCATTCCTTTAAAAAAAATTTGCTAAAAGAGCGCGACTAATATTCAAAAGTAACGAGACAAATTAATAACAGATAAATACGAAACTTTTTAAAATAACGAAGTTACGATATATAATTCTCGGTTTGTTATTAGATACTTACGGTATTGAATAGTAACGGAAATTTATAGTAGTAGTTACTTTTTCGACATCACTAAACTTAATTTGACAAGTTTACAATTTGACATGAGGGACAAAGATTCAAATAGTTTTAGTCGGAGTAGTGAGCGTTGGAATTATAGATCTAAAAGACCTAAAAGCAAATTTGATGAGTTTTTCGAAATAATTCATGCATCCCAAATTGCTTTGTGTAAATTGTGCCTACATAGAAAGGTTGAAATGAAAATGAAAAACAGAAACACGTCAGGTTTAAGGAAGCATCTAATATCTTTTCTTAAAAAGGAATTACAAATATTTCTTCCTGAAAAACCAAAATTCTGGTTCCTAAAAAAATGTACCTACTACTTTATTTTGGTAAATTAATGTATTTGTTAAGTAGATATCTCCTTAATTTAAAATAACTTCTGTTGATTATTGCATTTTTACCTATTCTTTATTTTTTCAAGTTTATTATATAAAAGTAGAGCTAAGATTGTTAATAACATTTATGTTACTTTAATAAGTGGATTATAGTTTGTTACCTTATCACCTAAAGAATCTGTGCCCTTGATACATGTATGTGGATTTTTTGCCACATACCAATCTCTTTTAAGATTTCCATTTCATATATGGTGGGGGTCCATCAATCCCTTTCTAGACAGATGTTCTTCAAAATACAGTCAAATTTATGTCATTTTTTGTGTTTTAACCATATTTGATTGATTTCCGTGGGGCATGGTAGATAGCTGAGTTAGAGCATAGGCACGGATCGCTTAGATATTGGCTTCAAACCCTCCTAGTAACGTTTAATAAATAGCAATAGGCTAATGGGTAACTGCACGACTTGCAAGACTCTTGCTGCAACACCAAGACCGGGAGTGCAATACCAAGACCAAGACCAGGTGTATTGGCGCAAGACCAAGACTGTCTAAGTCTCATCTTGTTCTTGCATTTGGGCAACACTAGTGCCGTAGCGCCATTGAAAACAGAAGATATATAAGAAGATAAGAAATTTGTGATTTCAATATCAATTATGAAGTTTTTTATTTTATATCGCAAATTAACACAGCAATCACGTAAAAAATCGTAACAAGACAAATTAACGTGTCTTTGATCTGTAATCGTATAATATTTATATGAAATAGAGTTCTGCTTTTTTTGAAACATTCAATATTATTTTATATAACATTTTAGGAAAAATAATAAAAGCTAAGAGAAAACTAATACTCACATTGGTATTTGAGCCCATCCTTCAAACCGTTTATGAGCTACTCTGATGTACTGGTCATACAGAATTTTGCCGCCTACGATACCTATTCCTACCACTGTAAGAGCAGTCAAAAGAAGACAGAGTGTAGTAACTGTCGTAACCCTGTGGGGTCGTACACCAGCTGGAAAGATAAGAATGCGGGGCATTCTACGTTGTTGCGATTCGACATCTTCTGGAGCGGCCTGAAAAAAATATAAATTCTGTTTAGTAAAAAAATGGTATTTTATGGATTTTAGATTACAAATGAGTAGTTTGACTTCGTAGACTTTTTTATCCTACAACCTAAAAGATATTTTCTGTGTATCCTATATCAATGTCCTAATTCAAAAATCTAGGTTTCTATTAAAGTCTATGAAACCAATTATCAGGTTTTGAAAAGATCTATTTAATTTCACAAACTTTGTCGACTTTGTCCATTTTTCTAAAATTATATCTGCGTGACGTTTTAATTGCTATTGTCAGATATGAAAACAAAAACGGACTTCTGCTTCTTCTTCTTTTGTTTCTATAGCTTCCACGTCATGGTGATACGCCAGCTCAATTTGGTGGTGACCCCGAAAAGTCTTACTCTAAACCAACTCGAGGCCACGTACTTGTACTTATGCCAAATAATTTTGTAAAATAAAATCATTAATAATTAATAGGTTATGTTAGTAAACACTACAAAAAGTATTGAGCATTGTCGATTATAAATTTAATTTATTAATTGAAAGGAATTTTATCAAAATGCTGACTGATTCTTTAGTAAGTTTATATAAAATGGAATATATTGTAATTGGTGAATATTCATATAAATGAATTTTGTGTATAGGTCAAAACTCGGAATGATCCTTATGGGGCATTCAAAACATATATGATTTAGGATCTCTATTAGACCACATTCACAGTAAGGGTTGTCCATCAAATTCAATTTGAAAAGATGTTGACTTGTTAAACAATGACCGGTTATTGTGGGACGAATTATTGTCTTATACGCTCTTATTTTTGCTGGTATTGAGAGTATTTTTGATTTAAGTACGGTCATCAATGAGTAATATGCACTGTTTCCTGCAATGATCCTGGCCACGTCCTTTTCATATTTATTTTCAGATGTTATGATCGCTCCCAGGTACTTGAATTCTTTGACGACTTCAAAGTTGTATTCATTGATTGTTACGTTTTGCCTAACCCTTGGTCTTAGGTTCTTCGTAACCACCATGTACTTGGTCTTGTCCTCGTTGACCTTCAGACCAACTTCCTTGGCTCCATTTTCGAACAGAGTAAAAACTTCTTTTGCATCTCTGGTGGATTGTGCAATTGTGTCTACGTCATCCGCAAATGCCAATAGTATTTTTGATCCTTAGGCGGGAAATCCGTTTGTCAGTTGTGGTTGAGCTTTCCTTACCGCATGTTCCAGTGCAAAATTAAATAGAGGCATGCTACTCGCAACAGTCTCGTTCTGTCCACTTTTGTCGTAAGCCTAATATTAGGTATCTATCTATATCTAAATATAATGAAAACCATTATTAATTATTGTGTATTTGTACAATAATTATTGTGTTCTACATATTTAAAGTGGTAATTTAATTATTCAATTAGCGTTTTGGATTTTTTGTATTGTGTGTGAAAGACGAGTTATAATTTCCTACTAGTCTCTATATATTTTTTATTTTATAATATGATCGGTGAGAGGGGGTTAATCCCCAAAACAGAACATTGGGTTGCGCCACAGAACATAAGTATATTTTTTCTATTAGCATTGAAACAAGTAACATAAAATATTACATTGCTTTAATTCGTTAAATATTTCTTTTCGTATTTCTATGTTGAATTATTTAATTTAAAATGACTTCTCTTTTGAAGAAGCTGTTTCAGCAGATATTCTGTAGAGATTAAAAAACAGTGGTGTCTTTTAATGTTTAATTTTATCGCTAAACATTAATGTCCATTCCAAGTAACCGCGAATTTTATAATTATAGTGTTATCAAAACATATTTGATTAGATATGGAATAACTTTAAATGCAATACATTGTTATCCCTGTATACTGACGTGTAAATATACTACGTGACTAATTTTTTATCATTTATGTGACTCATGTGAACCATTTAAAAATATTTTAAAACTGTATCATTGTTTTATATTATCGTCTATATTCGTGATTGTATGTTTACTTTAAAGGAAACAAACCTGCGAATTTAAAAGAATGCAACTTTTTATAATTTTTATTCTTTTTGGCCGTCTTTAAAAAAGGTAAAAAGTGAAAACAAAAATATTAACAAGGTGGAACCCATTGGAAAAGGAAAAAAATATGGGATAAAACAATGAAGGGGCGTTCTGAAGTAAGGAAGTGCAAGGGGTGACTTTTTAAGGGTAAAAGCAGTTTATCAATATTTCCGGCAAAATTACAAATCCTATGAAAAAAGTTTAGTGACAAAGTTGTCATTTAACCCACTAACTTACACACTTATCGGTAAGTTTCGCCAAATTATCCAATTAAAAAAATGGCAAAAGGTAGACCGGTCCATCTGGCGTTTGTTGATCTAAAGAAAGCATACGACTCAATACCCAGAGTCAAATTATGGGAAGTAATGAATGATCTCGGAATCCGACAAACACTAATAAAAGCAGTTAAAGCACTGTACAAAGAAAACAAAGTAGCTATTAAATGTGGAAATGAAGCCTACAATCCATTTAGACGACAAAAGGACTTCTACAAGGCTGTGCTACGTCCCCTACTCTGTTTAAAATATTCTTGAAAAAGACACTCAAACCATGGAGGAGAAAGTGCGAAGGAATGGGCATACCAGTAAGAGACGAATACCTATACACCTTAAGTTTTGCCGACGATCAGGTAGTCATCACACACGATGAAGAAGATCTCAGCTTTATGCTCAGAAAACTAGAAGGGGAATATAAAAATAACGGAATGGAAATAAACTTAGAGAAAACCGAATACCTAACAACAGAAAACAAGGATATGAGAAACCTAGAGATAGACTAGGGAAGACAAGTAAATGGAACAGATAAATTCAAGTATTTAGGAACCATAATATCGGACCAGCGAACAACATAAGAAGATATAAACAACAGACTAAGACAAACAAGAGACTGTATAAGACAACTAAATTCAGTGCTGTGGGATAAGAACATTACGATAAAGACAAAAAAGAGAATATATAATACGCTGACAAGAAGTATCCTGACATATGGGTCCGAAAACTGGACAATAAACAAGAGAAATAGAGGTAGAATAAGAGCAGTAGAAATGGAGTTCCTGAGGAGAAGCTGTAGACTTACAAAAAGAGACAGAATTGAAAACGCAGAGATTAAGCGGAGAATGGGAGTGCAATCAGACATAATCGACTATATAGAGCAGAAGAGACTATCCTGGTACGGCCACGTCAGAAGAGCGGACAGAGAACGCTGTATAAACAAAATTACAGAATGGAGCCCGATCAGAAGAAGAAAGAGAGGAAGACCACGAAGGTCATTCAGAGACGAAATCGACGAGGCTATGGAGAAAAGAACCCTGCGAGATGAAGACTGGAATGACAGGGAAAATTGGAGAAAACGGTTGAGTGAAGGAAGACAGTGAAAACTGTGGAAATCCTTAGTAGTAGTAAAAAAATTCACAGACTTATCCTACAAGATATGATCTCAAACAACTAAGAGGTAATTATACCAAACAAGAAATACGGGAATATCTGAAAAACAAGATATCTAAGTCAGAAGTAGTTAATGATGTTGAAACAGATATAAACAACTTGAAAAAAAGTAGGCAGAGACATATTAAACCAATACTTGCGACCGACAATGACGGAAAAGAATAATACATGGATGAACGATAGTATATTACAGGTGATGGACATTTTAGAGTCCAGACACAGAGATAAGAAAAGCGGACGTCTAGAAGAACAGTGTGAAAAAATCTGGAAATTGGAATATCTGGGCTATATAATTGCGTAATGGAGAAGGATACCAACTACTTCGGACCATAGTTACTTCAAAGTAAGGTCCACGGAAGGAAGAATAATATCATGGCTTCATAAGCTAACTTTGCCCGGAGGTTATGAGCGCGATGACTGAGTGGATTGAGTATCTCAGAATATCGTTCATATCTACAGTCGGTCCCAAGCCAGGATAAAAGAGGAGGGTTGATGGGCCAGGTTAGCATCCTACCCATTGTAAAAGAAAACAAGGCTCAAAGTACCGATATAAAGCCTCGGAACCTAAAATGACGAACCACGCAAAGAAAAGAAAAACGAGAAGGAAAAATAAGCCCACAATCAGATTAGCAACATGGAACATTACTTTTTTTAACAACAAAGACCAAGAGATAATAGAAGAACTCATAAATAAAAACATAGACATTTGTGCAATCCAAGAAACCAAGAAGAAAGGTAAAAGCCAAAGAGAATATAACCAATATTTTGTAGCATACAGTGATGTGAAGAAAGAAGAACGAGCACGAGCAGGCGTAGGTATACTTGACCATAAAAGATTAAAGACAACATAAATAACTGCCTACATAAGACGAGAGGCCTACACGAAGTACAAAACATCAAATACCCCAGAATCTAGAGACAACTATAGAAGAATTCGTAATGAAACAAAGCAGTTGGTAAGAAGAACAAAAAATGAACACTGGGAACAGTTTACAAAAAGAAGGACCAAAGGAAGAAAGAAAACCAAAAGAAGGAAATGACAGAATTGAAGGAATACAATAACATACCAGCAAATGAATGGGAAAGATACCTGACGAAACTAGTACAAAATAACGTACCTGAATTAAGACACGAAATAAAAATCAGTTTTCAGGAAGTAGAGATAGCCATAAGGTCACTCAAAAATAGAAAGTCGCCAGGACCAGACGGAATAACCAACGAGCTTCTAAAATACGGAGAAGAAAGTATAACCCTAGAGATGACAAAACAAAACACTAATATTGCACTGCAAGATACCAGACGCATGGAGAAACAGCATAATGATACCAATATTCAAGAAAGGAGATAAAGAAGACCCCAACAATTATAGAGGCATAAATTTACTGAACACCGCACTTAAGCTTACCACAAAACTTCTAACCAACAAAATCAATAAACTAACAACTTTATCAGATGAACAACAAGGATTCATATCCGGAAGATCCTGCGTAGACGCCATATTTGTAATAAGACAAATCACAGAAAAGGCCATCGAAC